TGTGAAAAATTTTTCGAATTTGGTGGAAATTACGGAATATTTCTTTGATATCTCCTGAAAATTTTTTTTGGTGACCTCCCCCCGCTCGCCAAGAATTTTGGGAAAAATATTCAGCTAAGTCCAGTTAAAACTTTCCCAATTTACGTTTAACGGACAAAATTTTTTTTCTGGCTAACACCCTGCATAGCTACATTTATATACACCACAAATATTGTAAACAGTTAATATACTCTACTTAAGGGGCATGCACTACACATATCGAGTTAAAATTGCAAAGGGTAGAAAACGCAATGTATTTATACAGTATAACTGAATAGGCTATAATCCCATAATTTACCTTGTCACCCTTGTAAGTGAAATTGTCTTGTTTTGTATCATGTCAAAACTTCTTTATTTAGCTTGCATTTTATTTAAACTGTTTCAATCTCGTGCTTTCTTCATGCTACAAACATATTTATAATTTTTTTGATATCTACATCATATGATATCCCAGTGCCATATCCAGAAACAGTATCGTCACGCATTCGGAAACTGTCGGCGTAATGCCGTAATGTTTAAATTACATGAAGTATATCGTATATAAATGGTAGGAATTCTAAATTATTTTAACTGATTAAAACCAAAATAGTACAGTGTTAATTGTTAAAGAAATGGCGCACTACATCGTGGTTTTGGGTTCGGCAAACAAACAACACCAAAAGATCTATTGTATGGTATGTAAGATGTAATCATTGTTTTACTGTTTATTGTATATACAGGTCTGGAAAATTTAATAGACGAGAGTTGCAAATCTCTCATAACCTCACGTATATTTTTCGTTTGATAGCCACTATAATTATAACTAGGAGCTAGAGTATAACCATGCACATGTCGAAGTACAACCATTGTATACAATGCAGTGCTCGATCTTACATGCAACAGTGCACAAATTACACGATGACTTTATTATATAAATCAACACTCGTACTCATTGACTTTCGTAGTTTCCTTATCCTACTGTTGTTCTAATTAAACCCTGGTTCACATATGTCTGCGATGTGTCGGCGGGCTATTGTCTTAGCAGTTCAACCAAATAATTCACAAAAGAATGCATCAACAGCTGTAAACAATGACGTCGCAGGCATATCGCAGACATGTGAACCAGCCTTAACAGCAATGTAGCTAGATTATAGATTAATTTGTAGCTCAGCCTCCATAGTCCATATAAATTGTAGCCCAGCCTCCATTAACACCAATAATGAAATTAGCTCATTCTGGTAACTAGCTCAATTTTGTTGCTTGCAGTGTATCGGATCTATGGGTCTTTCAGATCCCAGAATTACTTAATTATTGTAAAGTTTGCATAAAGCAGAAAAGGCTCTGTTTTTGTCAATGACCGGTGCCTATTGAGTGACCAAATATTGTCAGCCTAATCCACTTATTTGATTGCTAATTCATGTTGCATTACTTTCATTGCAAAGCACCTGGATTACATGATTTGCCCGTAAAATAGCAGCAATTGATAAACTTCAGTATATGGACTGAATGTATCAAGCAGAATGCATGTTGGCGATTTTAAGCGATCTTAGGCGATTTTAGGCGATTTAGGAGAAATTCGACAATTTTAACCCGCGATTTAGTGCGATTTTAGGCGATTTAGGGCGATTTAAGGCGATTTACCGCCCCAGAGTAGGCCTTAACATTTGCGACAGCTGACCTTTGAACTGCTGATAAATAAAAGCTTCTTATAGTGCGCTATCTTGCGATTATTCAGTATTAATTGTTGATTGTTTCTTATTTTCAATGAAAAATTGCTTGTGAATTATAAATTAATTATAGCACGGACAGTTTAGTCGGTCTTTTCCACCATGGCATGCATTAACTATGCTTCAAGATATCGGCTTGAATGCGCAATGAATGTTATTGGAAATATAATATCCCTTACAATAAGCGGCAGACTGTTTCATTATGGCGCGTGAAATTCATCACGCGAAAAACGCGTTCGACTTGCAGCAGGGTAATTTGACGAAATTTTGCTATTTTTATTAGCTAAAAACATTAACAAGGGAACAAAGTTTCCTGCGTTAATTTAGAAATCGTACATTTATTTGTAGATAACATTTAATGACGCGATTAACATTCTTTTGATGCCGATCATCGTAATATAGCCGCATAAAATAATGAAACGAAGCCTAAATGTAAACTTTCCAGATTCATTCAATAAACAGTGATATTATATGTGAATGATTATCGCAATTTTGCGTCCTCTCAGTCACGAATTATACTGCTGCAGAGCCTCTGAATAAAACGTGTCAATTTTTGTGTTGTTTTTCGAAATATACATTACGTGATCGTTACCATGACAACGAAAAGTAGGTCAACTTTTAGAATCTCCTTTGATAAATCATATAAAACTTGAATGGTAATAATCAAGGCCATACTTATTTTTTTATGATTTTTTGTCCATTTTCGCTAAACACACAAACTGAGACCCAGGCATTAACATACCTGAGTATAGTTCATAGATTTGTTTGATAGTTTAAGCTAAACGTCCTTGATACAACCGACCCCGGGCTTTCAACTTTTAGGCAGAATAAAAATTATGTACCGGTACATAAATGCAGATGCAATGCCATCATACATAGTGGTTACGATGATGATGATATGCCAAGGTTTTGGAAGATTCGCAAAATTGTAGTTGTTGCCAAAAATCTTGCAGCAATCCAGTTTATGATGCAGCCACTATATACCATCTGTTTTAATAGCCATTCCCAGGGTTATGAGTTTACCATTCCAGATGATGACCTGCTGATGGAAATCCGACAGCAGAAAGAATTCACCTGCTACATCCCGAAACATCTTTGCAGGCCATATGGTCGTCGTGTTGGTGCAACATATGTTTGTACCAGATTTGATCTTGGTACGAACAATTAGATGTCATCTCGCCCATGATCTGAGAAATTGAAAAGGGGAGAGTATATGTTTAGAATTTTATGACTGTGTTATGTGGGAATTTAAATCTCTAGCCTTCTCTGCTATCCATATAATCAGCCACTTATACAGTAAAAGTGGCCAAATGAATTGTGTATCAGATATTGTTAAGGAATGTACAGTACCTGCTTTACTCTTGATCACATGCAATGTGCTGTTGTCATGTGACAATTATTTTTATAGTTTTTGTGACTCAATCTTACCGAATGTAAAGAGTTGATACCCTAAAAACTATATATGGCATATTTTGCATACCTGCATTGAACCCTCTCCTATAGAGGAAGGGGTCACACCGTATGAATGCCGTCGCCCCATAAAGGCTAACACATTAAGCTATAAGCCAAAAAGGCCTACAAAGCTTTCCATTTGGTTTAAAAACAAAGCAGAGTGAAGTAGACACAATGAAACAACTGTGTTGCATGATCTATAGGTAAGGCGTAAAAAAAAAATACCTGTGGTTCCGGTTTCATATCGTGAAAAAATTAGGGTCGGTAGGTCGGAAATAATTTTTTTTTTGAATATTTTTTTCATGGTTTTGGCGGTTTTTTGCAGGCCGATTTTCAGTAGAGTCCCGACATCAATGTTAACTAGAGATGCATATTTCCTATGGACGAATTTAGGCAATTTGGTTCAATAATTAGTGTGACAACAGACGCCATTTTGGCACGCTGTATGAGCAGACGGCAACCACCTGGAGAAAATAGGGTCGCACGGTCAATCACGTTGAAAAAATAACAGGGTCGGCAGAAAAAAAATAGGGTCGGTCGGGAACCGGAACCACAGATATTTTTTTTTACGCCTAACCTTTAAAAGTTTAGCAGAAAGTGTTGGCATACACTCTGGTTGACCAACTATGTTGAAAAGGTTTACCTTTGATGAGGAAAATAATGTCCAGCATTGGACAAAGTAGTAAATAATCACAGAGCATTAGCCATTTTCCAATTGAGACTGCAAAGCATGTGTGGATTGTTTGGAGGGAAAGTGCAATATACATCGCCAGTCAGAAGACACACAACCAATACATCCAATAGTGTAAACAACTTTTAGGAAATTTTTTTAGAGATAATGAGGCATCTTTTAAACTTTCTTGCACCAATTTTAACTCATAAAGTTTCTTCCCCCTT